CCTACAGAGGCATTGAAAAGATGAATTCTTGCTTAGTGAGTAAAAGGCTGAACGTTGGTGTGCAAACAGCCTTATGTCAATGTCTAGGGAACAGAAGGAAGTGAAATAAAACAACTCGTGAAATCCTGTGTCCACACTGGTGTTATCAAACTGTTTCACTGACGCTTTTTTTTTCTTTTTCTACCTTTATTATCTGTGCTTTATCGGTCTTTGTATGTCTGCCTGTTTATGAAGTAGGTAATGTAAGCAGGAGTAGAGTTTACATTAGAGTAATAAGTTAGCATTTCATGTTTCCTTTGTGCCATTGGTTAAAGACAATTTGTTTACAATAAATGGTTATTTGCTTCTTCACCACAGAAACCTGACAAGTATTTTCTTTCAGCCTGAGTTTTTCTATCAAGTAACCTGGGGACTGTGAATAGCTTAACAACATTTTTTCAGATTTTGTGATGACTTTGGGAATAGTGGGGCTTGATTTTCAATGTACTGTTCCAGTGAGTGGTGACAACATGTGTGGACTCACCAATGCCATTTACAATTGTAGTAAAATGTACCTACATTTGTATTCCATGCCCCAGCAACATTCAATTTGCCTTTCAAATCACTTGCTGTATGAGATACTAACTTTTCCTCGTTCATGTACCAGGACACCCAGATCCCTCTGAACCTCCGAGTTTTGTGATCTCCCTCATTTTAATTATTATATCTTTTTTCATTCTTGCAGAGTGGACAAGTTCACATTTTTTTGCACATTACACTCCATCTGTCAAGTTTGTACCACGTCAGTTAACCTATCTAACCCTTTTTGCAGTCTCCCTGTGTCCGTTTCACATTGGACAGCTTTGCCCTAAATGCCACTGAATTTTTGCTAGGGCTGCATGGTGCCATGGTTAGCTAAATGCTGCTTCAGTGATGAGCACAGTTGCTGTCACCTCAACTCTGGAGATCGGTTCTTTTGTCCATGTTCGAACCAAGGTTGTACTGAGATCTGGGGGTGAGTGGACCAAATTGACTGTTGGTGAGCAGGATATTGCTGTTCAAGTGCCACGCGGTGGCCTTTTCAATGAATGAGAGTAGGCTGATTGGGTAGTAATTGGCCAGGTTGGATTGTCCTGCCTTTTGTGTATAAACCTACCTGGGCAATTTGCCAGAGATAGCAAGAATGGTAGTATGGAGCTGGAGTCAGAGACAGCACAGTGTGGAGCTGGAGGAACACAGCAGGCCAGGCAGCATCAGAGGAGCAGGAAAGTTGACGTTTCAGGTTGGGATCCGAAACATCAACTTTCCTGCTCCTCTGATGCTGCCTGGGCAATTCTCTACATTATCGAGTAGATGCTTGTATTGTAGCTGCGCGCACACACAGCTTAGCTAGAGACTCGGTTAATTCTGGAGCACAAGTCTTTGGTACAGTTGTCAGAATGTTGTCACGATCTGTAGCATGTGTAGTATGTAGTGCCTTCAACCATTTCTTTATTTCGTGTGGAATGAATCTAATTGGTTGAAGAACAACACCCATGATGCTGGGGATCGTCGGAGGAAGCCACGATAAATCATCCACTTGGCATTTCTAGCTGAAGATGGAAACACACGCTTCAGCTTTGACTGTTTCAGTAACATGCTGGATTCTGCATTGTTAAGGATAGGAACGTTTGTGGAACTTCCTCCTCTGGTTAAATATTAGATTGCCCACAACTATTCAAGACTGAATGTGGCAAGACTGCAGAACCAATCTGTTGGTTGTGGGATTGTTTAGTTTAGGCCATAGTAAGCTGCTTCTGCTGTTTAGCATGGATGCTGTCCTGTGTTGTCCTTAATTAGTTGGTACCTCATTTTCTAGGTATGCCATTTGCTGATCCTTATTGAGTCAAATCTGATCCCCTGGCTTGATAACTGCAGAGCAAATGATATGCTGATCTATGAGGTTACAGATTGCAGTTGAATGCATTTTTGTTGTTGTAGATGACCCATAGTGCCTCACGGGTGCTAGTTTTGTGTTACGGGATCTGTTCTGAATCAATTGTAGTTAGCACAAGGGTAGTGCTGCACAACACAATGGATTTTAACCCATGTTAAATTGGAGCTTGTTTGCACATAACTGTGCAGTCTCCACTTCTCAGGAATATTGCCATGAAAATATCTGTGACTCGTAGATTGTTGAGGTGGCAATCAAATGGGATTTTTCCTCTCATTGGTTTATTTTTCACTATCTATCTGGTGGACTCATTTTCACAAGAAAAATTTCCTTTTCTTTAATCTAAATTAAGCAATCAATTTTTTTTTTACAAAAAAGGGGAACAGCAACTGTCTAAAAACAAATCCAGTATCGTTGATTATCAGGAGAAAAGTGAAGCAGAACTGAGGTACTAAATTATAAATAGATTTGAACATGTGGTAAATTAGTCTGTAATGTGGTATCCGTTCACTGCTAACATTGGTGCAAATTGTATTCTGTTGTTATATATGCTTAATTCGAGGTATTTCAATCTTTGTAAAGTAAACCACATTAGATTGTTCTGTTTCTAACATGCATTTTTTTATTATTATGATGGATATTTTGTATGTGCCAGGATGGTACTTGCCATGGCTTACTAGATTTTTGCTCGTCCTCTGAGTCAGAAGGTGTGCTCCATTTCAGATATGTGGCTGCAAAATCTAATCTGACACTCCTAGCATTGTGCGGACAGAATGCCACGTTGTCAGGTCATAAAGTCATAGAGATGTACAGCATAGAAATAGACCCTTCAGTCCAACTCATGCATGTCAACCAGATATCCTAAATAAATCTCGTCCCGTTTGCCAGCATTTGACCCATACCCCTCCAAACCTTTCCGATTCACCATCCAGATGCCTTTCAAACATTGTACCAGCCTCCACACTTCCTCTTGCAGCTTATTCCCAACCTACAATACCTTACAGTAAAATGCCGTCCCTACTATCTGCCACAAGAGTTTACCTTCCCCCATCCTGACAGCATGCCACCCCATGCAGATGTGAAGAATACCCTAGATGAAACTTACACCGCCACAAATTCTCTGGAGACAAAATTCTCCGAGGGCCTATTCATTGTGACCGGCGACTTCAACCAAACCAACCTCAAGCAGGTGATGCCAAAATACCACCAGCGCATCTCATGCCCCACCAGGGGACTGAGCGTCCTGGACCGCTGCTACACAGCCATCAAAGATACCTATCACTCCATTCCCTGCCCACACTTTGGAAAATCAGATCACAGCGCTGTGTTCCTCCTCCCAGCTTACAAGCAGAAGCTGAAATGCAAGGAGCCTCCACAGACAGAAGTACAATGCTGGTCCAAGGCAGTGTCTCCAGAACCTCTTGGTATCGGTGGACTGGACCATATTCAAGTACTCAGCGGAAAACTTAGACAAGTATGCCATCACCATCACGGACTTCATTAGCAAATATGCGGAGGACAGTGTACTAAAGAAGTCATACCAGGTGTTCCCTAACCAAAAACCTTGGATGAACCAGGAAATCCACCGCCTACTGAAGACCAGGCGCACAGCATTCAGGTCGGATGACCTCAGACCTATAAAGAAAATCCAGATATGTCCTCCTCAAAGCCATCACGGATGCCAGGAGACAGTACCGGACCAAGTTAGAGACCCAAATCAACCATACAGACTCTGCCGCCTATGGCAAGGCCTAAACGACATAACGGGATACAAAATGAAGCACAACAAGATAGCGACAAAGACATCCCTCCCTGACGTGGTCAATGCTTTCCATGCTCGGTTCGAGCAGAATACCAGCGGCACGGTGTCACCTGCCCAGACAGCCCCGTCACACCTGTGGCCACCGTCACCGCTGCAGAAGTCAGTTCGGTTTTCCCGAGAGTCAACCCAAGGAAAATGATGGGCCTGGATGGAGTCCCCGGCCGAGCACTCCGATCCTGTGTGGATCAACTGGTGGAGGTGTTCACCAACATCTTCAACCTTTCCCTCCTACAAGCCAAAGAAGCTTCAAGAAGACCACCAACATTCCAGTACCTAAGAAAGCACATGAAACGTGCCTTACTGACTATAGCCTCGTGGCTCCTACCTCAATAATGATGAAGTGCTTCGAGAGGCTGGTCACGGCCCACATCTACTCCAGTCTCCCAGCCAGCCTAGATCCCCTGCAATTTGCCTACCGACATAACAGGTCCACAGCAGACCCCAATTCCCTAACTCTGCACTCATCCCTGGAACATCTGGACAACAAAGACACCTACATCTGACTCCTGCTCATTGACTACAGCTCTGCCTTCAATACTATTATCCCCTCCAGATTGATCTCAAAACTGTGTGACCTTGGTCTCAGCTCTGTCCTCTGCAATTGGATCCTCAGCTTTCTCACCCACAGGCTGCAATCAGTGAGGATAGGTAACTGCACCTCCTTCATAAAACATTCAACACTAGAACGCCCCAAGGATGTGTTCTCAGCCCCCTACTGTACTCCATGTACACCCATGACCGTGGTGCCAAATTCTGAATGTTTGCCATCTACAAGTTTGCTGATGACATCACTGTGGTAGGACAGATATCAAACAACGAGTCAGAATACAGAAAGAAGATAGAGGTGATTTGCTTGGTGACATGGTGCAATGAGAACAGCCTCTCTCTCAATGTCAACAAAACTAAAGAACTGATCATTGACTTCAGGAAGAGACAGGAGAACATACACCCATCTACATCAATGGAACGGTGGTCGAAAGCATCAAGTTCCTAAGAATGATAACTGACAACCTGTCCTGGACTTCCCACGTAGATGCAACAGTCAAGAAGGGACAACAATGCCTCTTCCTCAGGCGGCTCAGGATATTTGGCATGTCCACAAGGATCCTCACCAACTTTTATACATGCCCCATTGAAAGCATCCTGTCCAGGTGCATACCAACCTGGTATGGCAACTGCTCTACCCAGGACTGTAAGAAACTACAGGAGGTTGTGTACACAGCCCGGACCATCACAGAAGCCAAACGTCCCATGCATTCTATTTACATGGCTTGTTGCCGTGGAAAGGCGGCCAACGTCATCACAGACCCATCGCACCCCAGTAATGATCTCCTGCAACTCTTCTGTCAGACAGAAGATACGGAAGCTTGAACACATGTTCAAGAACAGCTTCTTCCCTGCTGTTATTAGACTGATGAATTGACCCTCTAATTTCAAATAATGCTGATCTTGCCTAGTGCATGCTCTTTGCAATATAACTTGGATGCCTTTGTCAAGTTTTTTTCACCCTATGATCTGTGTGTCCTTGATTACAATGATCTGCCTGTACTGCTGGTAAACAAAGCTTTTCACTGTACTTAGGTACACGTGACAATAAATCAATCAAAAAATTGTCCCCTTAGGTCCCTTTTTATATCTTTTCTCTCTCACCTTTAAACCTATGCCCTCCAGTTTTGGACTTCCCCACACTCTGGGGGAAAAGACCTTGTCTATCTACCCTATCCACGTCCCTCATGATTTTATAAACCTCTATAAGGTCACCTCTCAGCCTCTGACACTCCATGGAAAATAGCCCCAGTCTATTCAGCCTTTCCCTTTAGCTCAACCCCTGCAACGCTGGTAACATCCTTGTAAACCTTTTCTGAACCATTTCAAGTTTCACATCATTCCTCTAGCAGGGAGACCAGAATTGCACATAGCCTTCCAAAATTGGCCTAACCAATGTCCTGTACAGCCACAACATGACCTCCCAACTCCTATCTCGATGTGCTGACCAATAAAGGAAAGCGAACCCGAATGCCTTCTTCACTATCCTATCTACCTGCAACTCCAATTTCAGGGAACTATGAACCTGCACTCCAAGGTCTCTTTGTTCAGCGACACTTCTCAGGACTTAACCTTAAGTGTATAAGTCCTGCCCTGATTTGCCTTTCCAAAATGCAGCACCTCACATTTATCTAAGTTAAACTCCATCTGCTACTCCTCGGCCCACTGGCCCATCTGATCGAGATCCTGTTGTGCTCTGAGGTAACCTTCTTTGTTGTCCACTATACCTCCAATTTTGGTGCTGTCTGCCAACTTACTAATCATATCTTCTATGTTCACATTTAAATCATTTATGTAAATGACAAAATGCAGTGACCCAGCACCGATCCTTGTGGCACACCGCTGGTCACATGCTTCCAGTCTGAAAAGCAGCCCTCCACTACCACCCTCCATCTTCTACATTCAAGCCAGTTCTGTATCCAAATGACTAGTTCTCCCTGTATTCCATGTGATCTAACCTTACTGACCAGTCTACCATGTGGAACCTTGTCGAACGCCTGACTGAAATCCATATAGATCAACACCACCGCTCTACCCTCATCAATTCTCTTCGTTACTTTTTCAAAAAACTCAAGTTAATGAGACATGTTGACTATTCCCTAACCAGTCCTTGCTTTTCCAAATACATGTAGATCCTGTTGCTCAGAATCCCCTCCAACAACCTGCCCACCACCGGTGTCAGGCTCACCAGTCTACAGTTCCCTGGCTTTTCTTTACCACCTTTCTTAAATAGTGGCACCACATTAATCAATCTCCAGTCTTCCGGCACTTTGCCTGTGCCTATCAATGGTACAAATATCTCTGCAATGGGCGTAGCAATCACCTCCCTAGCTTCTAACAGAGTTCTATGGTACACCTGGTCAGGTGTCAGGGATTTATCCACTATTACGCATTTTAAGATGTACAGCACCACCTCCTCTGTAATATGGACATTTTCAAATGTCACTATTTATTTCCCCATGTTCTCTATCTTCCATATCCTTCTGCACAGTAAACACCATAAACACCGTAGTATCTCCCCCATCTTCTGTGGTTCCAAAAGTCAGCACACAGAGGCAGCCTTGCTGATCTTTAAGGGTCCTTATTCTCTCCTTAGTTACCCACCTTAGTCCTTAATGTGTTTGTAGAATCCCTTTGGATTCTCCTTAACCCTATTTGCCAAAGCTATCTTGTGTCCCCTTTTTGTCCTCCTCTTTTTTTCCTCTTAAGTATACTCCTACTGCCTTTATACTCTTCTAAGGATTCATGCGATTTCTCTGGTCTATACCTGACATATGCTTCCTTCTTTCTTTTGACCAGAGTGTGCTGACTTTTAGATAAGGTGTTGAACTGAGGCTTTGCCTACCCTGTCAAGTGGGTTCTGCTGACTTTGTGGCCACTATATTGAATAAATGCATGACCTTGTGGTCAAAATTTCTCCATTAGCAATATCATTAAAACAAAATCATGTGTGACGATTATCCTACTGTTTGTGGGATCTCACTGCATGCACCAATCACTTCCTATATTACAGTGGTGGCTTCAGATGTGACTTCCTTTGCACCTATTGAGCTGAATTTCCTGTTTCTGTGATGTGGATATGATACAATAACTTTTTGGCTGTACAAACGAGGAAAGACTGCTGTATGCACATGTTCACAAATGGTGCCCACAGTGAACCAAGCAGTATTACCTGTGCTAATGCACACAACAATGTTTTCAGCATCCCCAAATGTCAATGTCACCACTTCTAAATTTATGAATGATAACAAACTTGGGGGGGATAGTCAATACTGAAGAGGGCTGCAAGAGATATATAAATTTTGCGGAATGGCCAAAGAGTCAGCCAAGGAAATTCAACACCGAATGAATGTGAGACACTACTGTTGGTAGGAAGAGAAGGGCTGTCACTTAGTACTTAGAAGTTCCAAGTCTAGGTGGGGTGAAGGGATAAAGGGGATCTCAGAATACAGCTACATCAATCAATAAAAGCTGCGTTGTGGGTAAAATAAAAAGCAAACCGACTGTCAGGTTTTATTTCTGCAGGGATAGAATTGAAAAGTAAGTAAGGTTTATGCTAAACTTGCATTGAATTTTAGTTGGACCATAACTGAGTCACTGCATGTGATACTGGTTGTCATATTATGAAAAGTGTCTATTGAAAAGGCACACAAATAATTGCGTAGTAGTGCAGAACTTAAATGTTGCTTAAAAAGAGATACGCGGTTGAGGGATTGCATGGGTAGATATCAGGAAAGAATTAACAAGGTGGGTCTCCTTTCTTGAAAATGGAAGGCTGAGGAGTGACCAAATAGAGGTCTTAAAATTCTAAAGGGATTTGATAGATTGGATGCAGTGAGACAGTTTCCTTTGTGAGAAAGATCAGGACTGGAAGCTATGAATATAAAAATGGTCTCCAAGAGATCAAATAGACAATTCAGAAGAAAGTCCTTTACCCAGAGAGTAGTGAGAACATGGAACTCATTAACACCATGAGTGATTGAAGTGAACAGTATCAATGCATTTAAGGGGAAAATAGAAAAGCACATGAGAGAGAAGGGAATAGATGGTTATGATGGTAGATTTAAATAAAAAAGAGATGAGAGGTGGCTCGATTATAACACCATAAGAAGTAGGAGCCAAAGTAATCCATTTGTCCAATGAGTCTGCTCTGCTGTTCAATGAGATCATAGCTTATCTAATAATCCTTGACTCCATCTTCCTGCCTTGTCTCCATAACCCTTGGTTGCTCTACTGATCAAAAAATCTCAGCTTTAATATACTTAACCCCACCTTTACAGCTCCCTGTCATAAAGAATTCCACAGATTCACTGCGCTCTGAGAGAAGAAATTCCTCCTAGGCTCTGTCTTAAACGTTGACCCCTATTCTGAGATTATGTCCTCTGGTCCTAGACTGTCTCATAAGGGCAAACAACCCTTCTGCATTCACCCTGCCAAGTCCCCTAAGAATCTTATGCGTACCAACAAATTCTTCTAAATTCCAATGAGTACAAAACTAACCTGCTCAATCCTTCCTCATAAGACAATCCATCCACACCCAGGATCAACCTTATGAACTTTCTCAGGGCTGCCTCTAATGCCAGTACATCTTTCCTTAGATAAGGGGTTCAAAACTGTTCAGATGTTTCAGGTATAGTCTGACTAGTGCTTTGTATAGTTTTAGCAAGACCACCCCTAATTTTATACCCTATTCTATTTCAAATAAAGACCAACAGTCAATTTGTATTCTCTGTTATCTGATGAACATGTATGCTAATCTTTCAAGTATGGTACAGCATAAACAGCAGCTTGGGAGTTTGAGGTTGTGTTAATGCTGAATTGTCTGTGTCTGTTCTGTAAATCTTTATAATCCTATGTAACATTGTTCCTCATGTGTGCACATTAAGAAAAATGGACTGATTATGGCCTGTACAGTGTTTTGAAGTCTTTGCTTGTAGGTGCGAAAGCCTATAAAATTTGTATGCATTGGCATTTGAAATGGTATGAAATACCTTGCTCGAAAAAAAAATGGGAGCAGACAATTGAGTTTTAGAAAGTATAAATTGGGAATAATCAGCACTGATGACAAGTGAGTCATTTTTTCATACATTTTTAATGAGGGTGGTGAAAAAAGTTCTCATTTTTTTCAGAGGAAACAGATGAGTTCTTGGATCCTGTGAAAACGCCTACTGGTCTCGTCGGAGTGGAAGCAGCTTCTCTCCCTGCTCCCCTACAGCCCACCACCCTGCACAACATCTCTCTCAAACATCTGGGAACAGAAATCCAGTAAGTGTTTTTGACATTATAATATCTTTCACTGGGGGATGTGTAGGATATGCAGAGGTTATGGTTTGGAATATGTTGCCTTAAAGGATTGTGGAAGAAGATTCAGCAGTAACTTCCAAAAGGAGTTGGGTACATATATGATTGTAGAATTATAGAACCTACGGTGTGGAAGTAGTCCATCGAGAACACACCAACCTTCCAAAGAACATCCTACCCAGACCCACTCCTGTATCCTCACCCTGTAACCCTAGTCCACCTAACCTGCACATCCCTGGACACTATGGGGCAATTTAGCGTGACCAATCCAGATAACCTGCACATCCTTGGGCTGTGGGAGGAAACACACAGCACCCGGAGGAAACCCACACTGACACAGGGAGCATGTGCAAACTCCACACACAATCACCCGAGAATGGAATCAAACCTGGGACCCTGGTCCTGGGAGGCAGCAGCGCTAACCACTGAACCATCGTGCTGCATCCACAAATATTGTGAGGACTCTGGGGAAAGAGGTGTTGTGGAATTGGACAAATTGGGAAGCGCTTTCAAAGAGTCAGAAGAGGTGCAATGAGCCAAAAATAACTTTTTCCTCTGTGCTGTATAATTTGGCATTTTTAAGATCGGTGAAAGTGTGTTGTGCCTCTGGGAAATTTTCAGACTTGCATTCCCCATCCCCTCCAGCCCCACTCCCTGCCCCCACAATGCCCATGTGACCTGTTTTTTTCCTCATCAGGGCTGTTGCAGTAACAAACAAGCATACACGTGGGCACAGGCACACAGAGAAATAGGAGGATCCTTGAGGAACAATAAGGCAGAATATGCTGCATTTGTAATGGAGGGCTATCATCTCTGCAGAATGATTTTATGAAGAAAACCACACAATAAAAGCAGCCACTGAGCAGCAATGAAATAGAGAGGATTAAGTTAAAAAAATTTGAAACTGCGTGAAGCATGTCTATAGATTCAGACTTTAAAGCCACTTTTAATTATAAAAACCGAAAGAACTGCAGATGCTGTAAATCAGAAACAAAAAAAGAAGCTGCTGGAAAAGCTCAGCAGGTCTGGCAGCATCTGTGGAGAATAAATCAGAGTTAACATTTTGGGTCCGGTGACCCTTCCTCAGAACTGATGGTAGTTCTGAGGAAGGGTCACCAGACCCGAAACATTAACTCTGATTTTTTTCTCCACAGATGCTGCCAGACCTGCTGAGCTTTTCCAGCAGCTTCTTTTTTTGTTCCACTTTTAATTATGTTTGTGCTGCTAATTGCCAACATGAGCTCCTTTAAGATGGTGGTGTTAGCAGACGGTAAATGTGGTTTAAACACATCTTTGGTGAATAATGCCTTTGGTTTTACCAGACTCCCACTCATAATCCAAATTTCTTACCAATATAAACAGAACAGTGAGAAAGCTAAAATCTAAATATTAATGAGAATAATGATTAAAGTCATAGAGAACTTGTTTAATAACTGAAAGTTCAAAGCGTTACTTTGTTTGGGGACACAATGCAGGAGTTCTCAATCACTTGGACCACGGAGACTTTGTTCAAGACTCAGGCGCCCACTTCAACAACAAGTGCCTGATGGCTCTCAGACCATGAGACTATTGCATAACAGGGGTAATGTTTCTCGGGAGCAGTGGGGTCTGAGATTAGGATATCGAAGCTCTAGCTTCAGCCACTGTTATCAATCACTATTCAGCAGGAGAGGACAAGCTAAATATCAGCTGAAACCAGCCTGAGCTGTGATTGGAGAAATGGCATGTGGGCAGGTCAGAGCTTCTGTTCCAATCACAGATTCTGTCAATTTTGTGCCTGCTCTTCCCACAATCATGGATTCCTTCTCTACCGCTTTTACTGCTCCTCCTGATACAGAATCTTTGATTGGTCGAGACAGAGTCTGTGATTGGAACAGCAGCTCCATGGCTCCTGCGCTCACTGCTCCTCCAATCACAACTTTTACAGACAGATCCTACTCGAGGCAAATTGTCAGTTTGGAAAAAATAGAAAACTGAGTGAGAATGTCCTTCAGGCACTTTCATGGTTTGTTAGCTGACTTTTAATAAAAATAGAATAGCTAAACCCACTGACAGCTGTACCAAGTGGGAATTGTTGCTGCTGACCATCCAGCAGCCTTGTACTTTACCAGTGGGCTTTCAAAAAAAAAACTCATTCAGTTTTTATCGAAGCCCACTGGTAAACCACGAAGCTGCCTGAAGTTCAGAAGCAGAGGCTGCTGCCCACAGCAATGTCAATGGCATTAGCAGTTCTGAGTCATTTCCTTTTCTCTATAAAAGCAGTTTTTTTTGCCATTCCCCAAATTTTGTCGGGTTGCACTGGCCCAGGCTCCCATGGGAGATTTTGCTGTTCAAAGAGGTTCTGCTGGAAAACATTCATCAACAATGAGACCTTGGAGTGCAGGTTCATTGTTCATTGAAAGTGGAGTCCCATGCAGATAGGATGTGAAGAAGTTGTTTGGTAAGCTTGCCTTTATTGGTCAGTACATCGAGTAAAGGAGTTAGGAGGTCATTCGGGGCTGTACAGGACATTGGTTAGGCCACTTTTGGAATACTTTGTGCAATTCTGGCCCCCCGGCTACAGGAAGGATGTTGTGAAACTTGAAAGGGTGCAGAAAAGATTTACAAGGATGTTGCCAGGGTTGGAGAGTTTGCGCTATAGGGAGAGGCTGAATAGGCTGGGGCTATTTTCCCTGGAATGTCAGAGGCTGAGAGGTGACCTTGTAGAAGTTTATAAAATCACGAGGGGCATGCATAGGGCAAACAGATCAGGTCTTTTCCCCAGCGTAGGGGAATCCAAAACTAGACAGCATAGGTTTAAAGAAAGAGGGGAAAGATTTAAGAGACCTAAGAGGCAACTTTTTCATGCAGAGGGTGGTGTGTGTATGGAATGAGCTACCAGAGGAAGTGGTGGAGACTGGTACAATTACAACATTTAAAAGGCGACTGGATGGATATATGAAAAGGAAGGGATATGGGCCAATTTCTGGCAAACAGGACTAGATTAATTCAGGATATCTGGTTGGCATGGATGGGTTGCATCGAAGGGTCCGTTTCCATGGTCCATGTACAGCTCTATGACTCAATGACTCTATAACTCTCACCCAATCCTGTTTCCACACCCCAGCCCAAACCAAGCAGCGATTCATGGTTCAGATGTTTGCACTGGCTCTCCATTACTCAAATCGATTGTGATATCAGCAAGTCCTGGCACTTAGTCAACTATGTGAGGTACAGTCCAGATCAGATAAGCTGACCCTGCACTCAAAGATGTGCATAATGCTGGCATTTCCTCATTGCCCTTCAGGAGGTGGTGCTAAGCTACCTCCTGGCAACTGAGTGGATTGTTAGACCATTGCAGATGGCATTTAGACAAGGACATTGGATTGGGATTCAGATATAGGTCAGACCTGCTAAGGGTAGCGGATTTCCTTCCCTACAGGACATGTATGAACCAGAATGGACTTTCAGATAACAAGTTAGATAATTTCTGCAAATTCAAATTCCCCAACTGCTGTAATGCAATTCAAATTTGTGTCTCTGGATTACAATTCCTATAATATTACCCCATACTGTTGTTTCCTAGTGCATGCACACGTAATTGTTCAACAAGCTGGTCTCTCACTCAGAGTTGGAATGGGAAACTTGTTTTATTTTTTTTTCACCCAACCTGACATGATTCAAGGCTATTGTGGGTCTATTTCAGTCACTAGTAAATCACCAGTAGGGAATTCAGGAAAGAACTTTATTTATCCAGAGAGTGGTGAGAACATGGAACTTGCTACCCACAGGAAGTAGTTGAGGTGAATTGCACAGATACATTTAAGGGGCAGCGAAAAGAACATGTGAAACAGAAAGGAATAAGGATGTACTGATCTGGTGAGATAAATAGCAAGGGAGAAGACTTATGTATAGCATTAACTAGTTAGGCTAAATGACGTGTTCTTGTGCTGTAATAACTCTGATTATGGTTTGCATCTCCAATTTAAAGTGGAAAGTCCCTAAGTAATTTTAGTGCCAATAGAATACCATGCACTGACTTTGGACTTAGAAATGCTTTGAAGCATTTTACATTTGTACAGAATTATCATAAAGGACACACACAACAAGCACATAGATTACAAATGGCCCTTTGACTTAACTTACAATTTGTTTTCACAATGCTAGTCATTGATAGATTGTAAGATGTGATTCACTTCATACTGGATTTGTAATTCTTCATGTTTGCTAGATGTTGGTTATAGTGCACTGTTCTTCACACATTAAAGATTTACTTAGTCACCACTGTCATTTCATTTTTGGTTGTTGTTTGTTCATTTCCCCCAAACAGGAATTTTGGTTCTAAAACTGTATTTCAGTTCTCTGGAAACAAATCATTAAGAGAAAATAGGACATGTTTTGAAGAAACTAATCAGGGACCAAATGAGACTGGGCAAGATCTACCTCAGATCAAGGAAGGAGACATATCAGGTAGGGCTACAATGCATAACACTTCCAGACGAGAATCAAAAATGAATCTGTTTACATTTCCAAAAGCGGCTGTATTCCTCACCTCAGTGGATTATAGTGATTTGCCACTCACTGTGATTTATCTGCCTTTATGTGTGTTTTAGCTGGTTCAGCATGGGCTGCAGATGGCATGTAATATGAGTTTTGAAAAGAACATGCCTGGAAAGTACCAGTTTGACAACAGTGTTTCACTGCTGCTTTTTGATAAGGCCTGTAAGGACAAGTCCAGCACTAGGATCAGGCTCATCACTGGAAGATTGGACTCCGTGCGATCAAGGTTTTCTGCAAATTCTGTTTTAGAGAGCCTGTGATTACTGGTTGTTTATGCATTGAATTGCTTGCCTTTGTTTTCCAGATTAATTCTTCTTTCCTTTTATTGATAATTTATCAAGTATCATATAATTATCAGTGGAAATTTGAGAAGAGGTCTTGTGGATCCTTTTGTCCCCCACTAAAATCCTGGAATGATACAGCCCTGGAGATTATTAATTTATTTGCTCTTGTATAATGAGAATCACTGGCATGGGGCAACATTCATTGACTTTGAACAGTGGTAATGAGCTGTCTATAATAGGCGAATAACTGACCTCCTGATTCCTCAGAACCAGTCCACCACCTACATGGCACACGTTAGGAGTGCAATGCAACATTCCCACACTTTTCTAACTGATGATGCCTCCAACAATACTCAGGAAGCTAAATATCATCCAGGACAGAGTAGCCTGCTTAATTGGCACCCTGTCTATGGACACCAAATGGAAGCTGTGTGCTATATACAAGATGCACTCCAATAACTCACTGACAGCATCTCCTAATCTCATGACATCTACCACCTTGAAGGACAAGGGCAGTAGATGAGCAGATCACCTTCACCTACAAGTTCTCCTCCAAGCCATACAGCATTCTGACTCAGAAATATGTCCTTGCTCTTGTATCATCTCTGGTCAAAGCCTTGGAAATCCCTTCCTAACAGGACTCCAGGTGCACCTACACAATATGGATTGCACCAGTTCAAAATGTTGACCCACTACCGTCTTCTGAAGGGCAATTACGGGTGGGCAATAAATGCTGGCCCAGCTAGTGACATAACATCCTATGGGAAAAAAAATTAGTGACTTGCTAGGACATTGCAGAGGGCAATCTAGAGCCACCAAGATTGCAATGGGTCTGGGGTCACATGTTCTCAGACTGGAGAAAGGTAGCAGATTCCTCCTGCTATATATTTTTACACTAATCTGGTGGTTGCAGAATGATTAATAATGAGAGAACTTTTCCTTCTTGATTTAGTAATTCATTGAGTATGAATTCTGCAGTGGGATTCAAACTCATGTCCCGGAGCATTAATCTGCACCTACCAGATTATAAGTCAGACACAGTGTTCATGTGCTCTTGAAGAGAGAGATCCAATTGGTCTCACTCCTCTGCTCTGAATTTTTTTCTTCAAGTATATATCCAATTCTCTTTAGAAAATTATTCTTGAATCTGCTTCCGACACCCTCTCAGGAATGCATTCAAGCTTTTCAAACTAATGTACAAAAAGACATTCCTCTAGCTTTGCTGCCAATTAACCAGAAACCTGTGTCCTCAGATAATGAATGCTGCTGCCATTGTCATTAGTTTTCCCTTGTTATGAAAGATGGCCATTTCTCCTGTGCCTAGAGTCATCCGTTTTGTCTCCCTCGTGTGTCAACTGTGTGGCTGCTTGTGTTCTTCATTATCTGAAGGAAGCAACAGAATTGCTCGAGATTGCTCCCTGGGTCGTTCTTTCTTGTGCAATTTTCTCCCAGTCATTGGTGAAGACGCCATGTTTCCTGAGGCTGGCCTTCAAGGAGTTCATGGACCTTTTATCTCAACCTACCTCACAGAATGTGTCTAAGTTTACATTGTGAATTTGTGACGGCCTTGAAGATTTTGTTTATGATCGTATAAACTGCATGTCCTCTGCATTGGAGCTGAGCTCTGATGATAAGTTTTCCAGATATTTTTGTTCTTTGCAGTATCTCAGTGTCAGTCAGTTTGTCTTCCCATTTGTTGTCCTTGATGTTCCATATGCATCTCCTGGGGCACCTGCTCAGCTGCTTCACATGTTTGTTCCCTCCCAGGAGGGTAGCTATTACTGCAGCTTTGCACAAAACTAGTTCTGTTGAAAGTTTAATACCTCATTTCTTCCAGGTCTTTTGAAAAACAAGCTAATATAGGGCTTAATCTGGCAATTTATTCACTTTTGGTACAGACATGTCTAGTGATTGTGTTTGAGTTATCTACCATCTTCAGGGTTGTGTTATTGATACTTATAGTAGATGGGCTATAGCTGGAATTTGGTGGTTGGTCAAGTGTTTTTGTCTTCTTTCAGCTAATGGTTAGCCCATAGCCATCAACTGCTTTCGAAAAAACAGTTTGTGATCCATTTGGAGACCATGCACACAGTGATAGTCATTGATAAATGCTGCATGAAACACATTCCTAAAGTGCTCAAGCCAGCAATCTTCGATAACTTCAATGTCTGGTTGGGAAAGATTCCTTGTTTAAGGTTTTAGCAAAGATTTGTAACTCGGGTTGTGGGTGAGATTGCTGACTCACTCACCGAACTGGCTCATTTTCGTTCAGGCGTTTCATCACCGTGCGAGGTGATATCATCAGTGAGGCCTCCAATGAGGTGATGTTTTTCTACTCCGCTTGGAATTTATACTGTGCGGTCCGTTATGGTGAGTAGTGTCATTTCCGGTTTGTTCTGTATGGGTTTGTATATGGGGTCCAATCCTATATGTTTGTTGATTGCATTACGGGCGGAGAACCATGCCTGTAGGAATTCCCGTGCGTGTCTACGTTTGACTTGAGCTACTATGGTTACGTTGTCCCAATTAAACTGATGGCCTTCATTGTCTGAATGTACCGATATGAAGGAGAGTTCAACATGTCGTTTGCTCAGCTAGCAGCAAAACAACACGACGAACTTTCCTTAATATCAGTACACTCCGACAATGAAGGCCATCAGTTTAACTGGGACAACGTAACCATAGTAGCCCAAGTCAAACATAGACACGCACGAGAATTCCTAGAGGCTTGGTTCTCCGCCCATAATGCAATCAACAAACATATAGGATTGGACCCCATATATAAACCCATACAGAACAAACCTGAAATGACACTACTCACCATAACGGACCGGACAGTATAAATTCCAAGCGGAGTAGAACAACATCCCTTCATCGGAGGCCTCACTGATGATGTCACCTCGCACGGTGACAAAATGTCTGAATGAAAACACGCCAGCTCAGTAAGCAAGTCAACAACCTCAAGATTCCTTGTCATCGATGAGAATAGGTGTGTTGCCTTTTGATGGAAGACCACATTCACACCCTCCTGGATTGGTTGCGCTGCCTCTGCCTAATGCAGATGGATTTCGATTTTCCAGCCATGTTGCAATTTAGAGTTTCCTTAATTTGATGATTGGTTTCGTTGAACCAGTCCTGGTAGTCTCTGTCACATTCTCAAGACATCATTAGCAACTTCCGAGACTTTTGATTTGAAGGTTGACCATACTTCATCAAGATCATCTCTTGGGTTTTCTTTGGAGGAGATCTGGTCTTTGGGTTTGAGCCTGAAGTGCTGAAATGTCTAGCTTCAGAATGTGTTGCTCATCTTTTCAGCGAGGTAGGAAATCTCATGTTGGAGCATAGCTGTGGTATATAGATCTTTCTTCTCCTCTCATAACCCTGATGATTATCATATCTTTTATGTTACTCTGTTACACAGCAAGTGGAAGTGTTCACCACTGTTGTGGTGCAATGTGGCAGTTCCTCCGGTCTTTCCTCATGGATGATTTGTCAAATAGCAACCTTAGCAAATCCCCTCCATGGTGGAAAAGAGGAGCAGAGGATTAGCATTGAGAAAATAAGGGATTAAGATTTATTGTAAAACACCAGTTTGGCATGTTCAGGCAGGTTTCCAGCCAAGAAATCCTGCAGCATTCTGTATTTGAAAGCTAAAGCTTGAATTCCACCTGGTTTAGTAAGTGGTGGTTTTCCTTTGCAAGCGGAACATCAGAAAAAAACTATGTTCATTTTCAATAGTTGCTCGTAATTCTCTTTGTTATCCAGAGTGTAAAAGAAAATCTTGAGTATTTCTGTTGACTGTATGTTGGTTTTGTGGCTCCTATGGTTCCATGCTGGAGAATCCGTTTTGTAAATAATAAATGATTTGTTGTCACAGTTCACACGTGATTGATGTTAAGCAGGACTTCATCTTTCTCCTTGTAGTCATTGCTCGGCTGTTTTTTAGACTGGAAGAGAAAGAAAAGAACCACCGTTTATATAGCTCTATTCACGACCCCCAGATAATCCAAAGTCCTTTATTTGAAGTATGAGTGTATAAGAAACATGGTCACCAATATGCAGGCAAGCTCCCACAAGCAGCTAAGTTATAAATCTGTTGCAGTTGTTGGTTGAGTATTGGCTTGGACATCTGGTGAGAGAACCCCTGTTCTTTTTTTGAATTATGCTGCAAGGTCTTTTACAATCATCTGTCTAAGAGGGCAGATAGGCATTTAAAATCTACCTGAAATGCAGTGCCTCCAACCCTGTAGCACACCCTCAATACAGTCAGCCAGAGGGAGGAATCTTGTTCCTTTGGCCTTGCATGGGCCAATCCAAAGGACTATGGACTCTTCGTGTCTTAGTGTAGCTGTAGACACAACGAGGAGAGTTGCCGTGCCTGGAACTTTCTGTCTGCAAAAAATTTAGAAGTAGGTTTAACAGTTTTCGACAGGGAATTGGATACATAAATGAAATGGAATAGTTTTCAAGGCTGCAGGCATAGGAGCTCTTTCAAAGAGCCAGTGTAACTACAGGGAGCTGAATAGTATTCCTCTGTGCTGTTTGATCCCATAAATACAGAGATACTTGATAAAAGATATGGAAAAATTCCTGATTTTCCTTAAATAAAGGTCAATCCACTGATGGTGGTTTTAAATTTAGTCACCAATGAGGATGAAGGTTAGAATTCCCCAATTATGTGAAACAGACACTGGAACTGTGATCTCACTGAGTAACTCTGCAGACGTGGGTCCAAATGACTTTAATAAAAGGCTATTGCTGTGTGTATAGCAGTGCATAATAGGCCTGTGTTTGTCTTTTTTTTTTAGTTAAGGACTTACACCAGGAAGAGCAGAAGACCCCATTTCAGAAGAGTACTAGGGGCAGTTTGAAATTGCTGACCAATCGATTCAACAACACACCGTTGCCTGCAGAGGAGGACAGGAATAGCCCAGACAACAACACAAGGTTACACAATGACATCTTGAGACTCACCAACGAGCTTAATGCACAGAGGGTAAAGTGACCTATTTGTGTTGGCTCTGGTAATGGGAGCATTTTCTACAAAGTTATTGAAAACACAGCATAAGTTGTCTCTCTTGTATTTCTGAAGTGCAACAGAAGGATTGAATGGTATAACTTGGAAGTAGGCTTCTTTGAAGAGCCATCCAATTTGACCCACATCCCCGTCATTTCCCCATGGCCCTGCAATTTTATTTTACCTCTTCACCTGTTTATCCAATTCACTTTGGATAGGTTGCCATGTCTCTTAAAAACATTGAAAGAAAAAAAGACTTGCATTTATACAGAGCCTGACTGCATTTTCTTCATAATTTTTTTTTAAGTGTAGCCACTTTAGGGTGTCGGAAATGTGGCAGCTAAATTGCTGTTTGCAACTTCCCTCAAAATGGAATCAGTTAATGACTAGCCCGTCTGCTTTTATGCTGATGATTGATATTGATCTCAGGATGCACAGAAGAATAAATAGACCACTTGTTCCAAAAATTGGCCTTTAGGAACTTCCACATCCTTCTGAGAGTGTTGACAGGGATGCTGTGTGAAGTCTCAACTAAAGGCATTTGACAATTTTCCCTTGATACAGCACTGGGAATGTCAGCCTAAGTTTTTATGGTCAAGCCTCTAGAATGGGGACTTACCGACCAACTATTTTTATTCAGAAGAGAGTGAGAGTGTTACACACTGAGCAATGACTGATGTCAACCATGTAATAGAGAACTGGAATTGGTCATAGGCCAGACTGGTTCAGTGTGGCATTTTTACAACAAATCTTAATCCTTTATTTGCTCAACACCAATCCTCTGCTCTCTTCACTAAAACAGTCAAGTTCTTTGTAATTAGTCAAACAATTATTTTTCTGATGGTAACCAACCAATTGCTAACCCATTCAGTTTCCCATGGCAGGACTTTTGGTGTCCTTGCTTAAGAAATAATTTACTTACATTTGAAGCAGTTCAGAGAAGGTTTACTTGATTTTCCTAGGTTTTGTGAGGAAAGATGAGTAGGTCTCAGCCATGGGAGTTGAGAAGGATGAGAACTGACCTTATTCGCATAGAAGATTCTGTGGGGACTTGACAGGGTGTGTGTTGAGAGCATATTTCCCCTTATGGGGGAGACTGGAATGAGGGGAACAGTTTAAAAATTAAGAGACTCCCACTTCAGATTGAGATGAGAAGATTTTATTTTCCTCTCAAATAAACATTAGTCTGTGGCATTCTCTTCCTCAGAGAGCAGTTGAGGATGAATCATCGAATATGACCAGGCTGAGACAGACAGATATTTGATGGGTAAAGGAGTTGAGGGTTAGTGGGGGCAGGGGGTTTGGAGGGGTGAGATTTTGTGGACTTGGCTGGGATGTGGGGTGGAGGGAATAGGGGTTGGGGGGATGGAGGAGGGAAGGTGCAGAGTATGAAGTTGAGACTACAGCCAGATCAGCTTTGGTCTTATCGAATGTTACAGCAGGCTTCAAAGACCAAATGGCTTACTCCTGCTCTTTATTCCTGTGTCCTGATGGGATTTCAGCAGATTCTACTTTTGTCCCATAATCACTGTACCCCATCAGCAGAAAGTTAGCTGTAACCCAAGTTGTCGCAGATTGGGATATCCCACTTTCTCCCCATAACCCTTGATTCCTTTATTGATTAAAAATCTATCTCAGCCACTTCAGAGGAGTCCCAGGGTCACTGGACTCGAGATATTAACTCTGTTTCTCTCTCCGCAGATGTTGCCTGACCTGAGTTTCTCCAGCTATTTCTGTTTGTGCTTGTCATTTTATTTCTCTTCCATGGGTTATGGATAGTGTTGGTCGAGTGAAGTGGAGTGTTACGTTGTTTCAGAATCAACTACGTTACACTGAGTCTGGAGTTATATCAGTTAAGCACGGCGGATTCCCTTCTCTAATGGGCATCGGTGAACGTATTTTAATAATAATCAATGACAGGTTCACAGTCACCATCACTGAGACTTGCTCTCATTCTCGATTTTTATTAATTGTGTTTAAACTCCCTCGTAAGGTTTGAACCTTTGACCTCAGACCATTAGCTTTCTTCTCTGGTTTACAAATCTAGTGACACTGTCACTTTGCTACCATTTCCATTATTTCCCTTCAACTGTCCCAATGAGTTCTATAAGGTTGCTCAAGTGCCCCTTTCTTAGAATGACCAGCTAAAGGTGGGTAATTTCCTCACCCTAATAGTAAATCTGTTCTTTTAAGAAAACATTCTTTTGTACTGATGTACAATGCCTTTTGTAGTTCATGCCTGTATTTTTACCGGGGTAAACAGTTTCTGGGGTGCATGCATAGCTGAGGGTGATGTTAAAATCATCAAAATTTTCACAGAATATGGAAGGCCGTTTGGTCTGTGGGCAGGCTGTTTGGAAACCTGTTCTTTTTATTTCACACCTCAGCCTTCTTCCCCATAATCCTGTAAATTAATTTTCTTCCAGTATGTTTCCGATCACCTTTCAGCAGGTTATTTTGGAATTTGATTCCACCATCCTTTAGGATAGCTACAAATCTTTAAAAAGAGAAAATCTGTGTAAAAATATTTTTCCTCCTTTCCCCCTCAACTTTATTTGTATCAATTCTTTTAAATCAGTGACCTTTGGGTATCGATTCACTTGTCAGTAGAAACAGTTTCTTCGCCCCTCTGTCTGAGAGTCCAGAACCAGAAGTCACAGTCTAAGGATTAGGGATACACGATTTCAGGACTGAGATGATGAGAAATTTCTTCACCCAGAGAGTGGTGGAAATGTGAAATTCTCTGGCACAGGAAGCTGTTGAGGCCAAAACATTGAATGTTTTCAAGAAGGAGTTAAATATAGTTATTGAGGCTAAAGGGATCAAAGGGTATGGGGAGAAAGTAGGAAACGGGTACTGAGTTGGATGACCAAACATGATCATGTTGAATGAAGAAGCAGACTTGAAGCGCCGAATAGCCTACTCCTGCTCATATTTTCTATCATGATTTTCAATGTCTCTTCTTAACTATCATTGCTCTGTGGAGGACAATACCAGCCTCTCGACATAACTGACATCCTTTATTCCCAAAACCATCTCGGTAAACACTCCCTGTGCTCTCATAGAATCTCTACAGTGCAGAAAGAGGCCATTTGGCCTATCAAATCTGCACTGACCCTGCAAAGAGTATCCCACCCAGACCTAAGCCCCTGCCCTATCACTGTAACCCATTAACCATGGCTAACCTGCACAATTTAGCTTGGCCAATCCACCTAACCCGCACATCTCTGGACTGTGAGAGGAAACCAGAATGAACCCATGCAGACATGGAGAGAATGTGCAAACTCCATGCAGACAGTCACCCAATCGGGTTGGAATCGAACCCGGGTCCCTGGTGCTGTGAGGCAGCAGTGCTAACCATTGAGCCACTGTGCCACTCCAGGGCTTCTTTCATTTCGGGTCCCCTTTTTGTGATAGGATGCCATCCTTTCTAATGAGAAAATGAATTGAGCGCTGACTTTTTTGTCGTCCTCAGGAATTGGTCAAGCTCTTGCACCGAGCCCTGGAGGCTGCACAGCAGGAGAAGAGGGCCTGCAACTCCTACCTCTCGGCAGACGACTCCACCCGCTTGGAGCTGGTGCGGCACAAGGTGAGGCAGGTCAGGGACTTGGAGAACCGGGTCAGTGCGTTGGAGAAGGAGAAGCAGGAGCTGGAGCAGAGCCTGAGGCTGCAGAGGGACCTTGTGGAGGAGTTGAAGCAGCATGCCCAGCTCCTGATGGAGAAGAACAACGCCAAACAAGAGGTCATCCTGAAACTCTCCGAGCAGATGGCCAACGAATACACCTCTCCGTCAGAAGCATGCGACAAAGTAACTGCCGAGACGATGAGGAAACTGGAGGAGAGATTTGCACATTTAAAGGTAATTAGATGGGGCTGATGGCAACACAGGTCTACCATGATGTAGAAACGAGAGGATGCCATCTAAGCCTTTGAACCTGCTTCACCCCCATTCCATGAGGCAGATTCCACCAGCCCTGTATCCCTAAACATTTTTGGTTAACTAAATCTTTCACTATTGTACTTAAAGTTGACAATAGATTTTGACTCGTGTGTGGAAGAGGGCTCCGAATATAAGCTGTCCCTTGTATATGAATTTCTCATCTCAACCCTTGGAAAAGTCTAGACCTGATTTTCAGGCATTTTATGTCATTCTAAGACCCTTTACAGGAGCAATTACTCCAATAATTGATAGCAAGGCGCAGAAGGGACAATTGGGGCAGATGGCCCAAAGAGGTGAGTTTTTGAGGAGCCTCTTGAAAGAGGAGGGTACGTTTACCGATGGGATTCTGGTGCTTTGGACCTCCAGGAGGCTGAGGCATGGCCCCCAGTGGCGGACCAACCACAGCTAAAATGTGACTCAGATGATTTGATGCCTTAGGCATGATTGGTAGAGCCCATGTTCATGTTCTCTTTAGTTCTGCCCTCCAGTCCTCCCAAAAACTGTCGTCTTCCAACTCTGCCTGCCTGGGCAAGCCCAATTTCCAATATTCTCGAGCCCATCTGTGACCTGGCCCCTTCCTCTCTATCTCTCTCTCTAACAAGGTTTGTTGAGAGTTTCAGGAGAAAACAGCAGGATTTCATGCAGTCAAAGCCAGGCCAAGGCTGGAGTGACTGTATCAAAGCTTGGTCTGATGACTTATAAAGGCATTTTGTTACTTTTTTAAAACAGTAAATTTTAGAGTTCGAGCTTGCAACCACATTGCCTTCAAATCCAATTTAAAGCGAATGAATTATAAATGGTTGTTAATTTTTGAAGTCTTTTGTTTCCAATATGGTGGGGTTTTTCTTTTTGACAGGATGATCAAGAAGCTTACAAAACGCAGAACAAGTTCTTGAACTCTGAGATCTACCAGGTCACTAAGCTTTGGCAGGCCACAGTGGATCGGGAGAATGCTTTGGCTATGAAGGTAAGTGATCCGGTTCACAGAACACATTACACCTGCAACTCCCTCCCAAACAACACTCTGAGTTCCTGCAGCTCTCAGATTGTAGCAACTCAAGGGGGCGGTTCAGCGTCACTTTCTGACGAGGTAATGAGGGACAGGTATAACAGACTTGATGGGCCGAAGGCTCTCTTCTGTCCTGTGTGATCCTATAGCTGTCAGACTTGACTCCACATTTGAACTGATATTGTTTCTACCCTAAGAAACAGGATCAGGATTAATCACTTGTCATCTCTGATCTATTTTTACCATCCTGTATGGTTATCACTCAGCAGGTTGAAGCCTAAACTCCACTTCCTGTCCTGCCCCCGTAACCCCTCGATAACTGTTTTTGCAGACACCTCATAATTCTCTCTGATAGATTTAATTTTGAATATATTTAATAATGCAGTCCCCACTGCTCTCTATGGGAGAGAATTCCAAAGGCTAACATGCCTCTTCGAGAAGAAATTCCTCCTCTTGACCATCCAAAATGGGAGACCCTTCTTTATGAACTGTCCCCCTGGATGTCGTGTGGCTTGGAGGGGAACTTGTGGATGGCAGTATTCCCATGCATCTGTTGCCTTTGTCCTTCTAAGTGGTAGAGATCACCAGTCTGGAAAGTGATGTTGAAGGAGTGTTATTGAGTTACTGCAGTCCATCTTGTAGACCGTACACACTGTTGCCACGGTATCAGTGGTCAGGGAGTAAATAATGAAGGTGGTGGATGTGGTGCCGATCATAGGGCTGCCTTGTCCTGCCTGGTGTCGAGCTTCTTGAGTGTTGTTGGGGCTGCACCGATCCAGGCAACTGTAGAGTATTCCATCACACTCCTGATGGACAGGCTTTAGAAAGTCTGGAGGTGAGTTACATGCTGCACAATTCCTAGCCTCTGACCTACACCTGAGGCCACTGTATTTATATGGTAAGTCGAGATTAGTTTCTGGGTAATGGTAGCCCTTAGGATGTTGATAGTGGGGAATCTGGTGATAACAGTTCCATTTAATGTCATGGGGCAGTGGTTAGAATGTCTCATTTTGGAGTTGGTCATTGCCTGGCATTTAGAGTGGCACAAATGTTACTTGCCACATGCAAACCCAAGCCTCAATATTATCAAGATCTTGTTGCATTTGAACATGGACTGCTTCAGTATCTGAGGAGTCGCGAATGGTGCTGAACACTGTGCAATCATCGGTGAACATCCCCATTTCTGACCTTATGATGGAGGGAAGGTCATTGTTGAAGCAGCTGAAGATGGTTGGGCTTAGGACATTACTCTAAGGAACTCCTGAAGAGATGCCCTGGACTTGAGACGACTGACCTCTAACAAGCATAACCATCTCCCTATGTGCCAGGTATCACTCCAACCAGCAGAGAATTTGCCCCCAGTACCTATCGATTCCAGTTTTTCTAGGGCTCCTTAATGCCACACTTGGTTGAATGCCACTTTGATGTCAAGGGTGGTCACTATGACCGTAAACCCCTTCCCCCCCGCCCCCTGGGGGAAAAAAAAGTTCAGCTGTTTTGCCCATGTTTGATCAAGGATTTCAGGAATTCCGAGTGGCCCTGATTGATTTTAAACTGGGCATCAGTGAACAGGTTACTCTTTAATAAATGCTGTTTGATAGCACCATTGACAACCCCCTGCTGTCGATTCTTCTAAACTCTGACAAGCTTAGGTACAGCCTGCTTAACCTTTCCTGATGAGATAACCACCTTATCTGTAAGAACTCGTAAAACCTTCTCTGAACTGCTTACAATACAAGTCCTTAAGTAAGGAGACCAAAACTGTTCACAGTAACTCTAAGCCCAGTCTCACCAAGCTCTGTATAGCTATAGCAAGATTTTCCTGCCTTTATGTTCATTTCGCTGGCAATAAAAGCCAACATTCCATATGCCTTCCTAATTAATTCCTGTATCTGCACACTGAGTTTATAATTCATGTACAAGGATACACTGATCCCCCTGTACTGCAACAGGCTGCAGTCTCCCTCCATTTAAGTAATATTCTACTTTTCCATTCTTCCTGCCAAAGTGCACATCCTCACAGTTTCCCACATTACACTCCATCTGTCAAACTTTTGTCCATTGACAGTTTGTAGACTCTTCTATCCTCCTCACAGCTTGCTTTTCTATCTCACATTATAACATCGGAAAATTTGGCTCCAGTCCAATTGGTCCCTTTATCCATGTCATGGATATAGATTGTAAATAGTTGAAACCGCAGCATTGATCACTGTGGCACTTCACTAGTCACAGCACACTGAGGTGAAAATGACTTTTTTATTCTGACTCTGTTTTCTGTTAGTTAGCCAACCCTTTCATCCATGCTAATTTATCACTCCAACACCATGAACTCTTATCCTTTGGCACTTTGTCAAGGGTCTTTTGGAAATCCAAATATGCTACATCTAAAGTTTCATCATTACTCACTCTGTTTTTGACCTTCAAGAACTCTAATAAATCTGTCAAAGACTGTGTTTCTCTTTCACAAAACCATGTTGACTCTGCCTGACTGTATTTCTCAAAGTCCTGTGACAATCTCATTAACAATTGAGTGTAGCATTTTCCTGACAACACGTTGAGTGGTCAATAGTTTGTGTCTCCCTCTTGAACATTTCTTGACAATTTTCCCAAATGGTTCCCCCCAACCCCTACTTCATCCAACCCCTTCTTCTTTTTCTGCCTTCCTCATTTTATCCAGCTTCCCCTTAAATGCACTTGCACTACTCACCTTGACCACTTCTTGCGGTAGTGAGTTCCACATTCTCACCACTCTCTGGGTAAAGAAATTTTCCAGAATTGCTAAGTGGATTTGTTAGTAACTGTCTTATTTTGATGATCTTTAGTTTTAGACTTCTCACATGAGTATTGAGTAAGATCTTCTTATCTCTGATTTAAATGTTACATTTCAATGCATTGATACTAAAACTGATAGACGGGGCAATCGGCAGGAAGTTGTGGGACAAGATAGGGGAGATGGGGGTGTTTAGGTTCAATTAAAAGAAAATTACAGAGAAAAACTGGCTGAAAGTTTTGTTTTGGAGAGAGTTATCAAAGGTGACATTCAAGCAGTTAAACTAAGGGATAGGTGAGGAAATTTGTAACTATAACCTCTTTCTCTCAAAAGCAGTTTTACAAATTGAATAGAAAAACCAAAGAACTGCAGATGCTGGGAATCAGAAACAAATCCAGAAATTACTGGAAAAACTCAGTCGGTCTGGCAGCACCTGTCGAGAGAAAGCAGAATCAACATTTTGGGTCCAGTGACCCTTCTTCAGAACTGTTATTTTGTTTTAGGAATTGATTTCTCTCCAGGAAACTGTGCTGCTAATTTATCAATTAAAATCTGGACTCCTTCTGAAGCCATCAGCCCTAAGTTTTCTGGTCACAAATAAATGCTGCAAATTGCAACTCGTTGTAATGGCAAAGTTTGAGACAGAGCTAACACCGTGTAAAGCTGGAGGAACACAGCAGGCCAGGCAGCATCAGAGGAGCAGGAAAGCTGATGTTTCGGGTTGGGATCCTTCTTCAGACCAACATCACCCTTCCTGCTGCTCTGATGCTGCCTGGCCTGCTGTGTTCCTCCAGCTCCACACTGTGTTATCTCTGACTCCAGCGTCTGCAGTTCTTACTATCTCTTGAGTCTGAGACAGAGCTGTGTGAAATAAATGGGCAATGTCTCTCCCTGGTGGAGATTTGCAGACATTCACACATGATTCCACAACCCAAAGGAGATTCTCTTGCAGTTCTTCAGAAAATCCAGCAGCAGCCTTGTGTCGTTCTTTCAAAATGATGTTTCTCTTCTGTCAGCCCTTCCATGCTCCCACATACGCAATGCTGTTGAAGTTAATTGGTCAAATTTCTTTTGCAGTAATTTCCCTCTGCTAGCTCTGATCCATCCAATTAGTCCCAAACTCCCACACCTTGCTGTTTCTCCATAACCTTATAAATTTTACTTTTTTAAGTAAATGTTCACCTTCCCCTTTTTGGAAATTACCCTTGAATCTGTTTCTGTCCCTCTTTCGGGCAGCATAGTTCAAATCATCATATCTGACTGTATAAAAACAAAATCTTAACCTTCAATTTCTTTTGCCAATAGTCTCAAATTTCTGTCCCCTGATTATGAAACTTTTTACCAAACAATTTCTCCTGACCCATTCTATCAAAACCCTTCATGCCTAGGAATTTTACTACTTCTCTCAGGAGTTAAGGTTTTATTTTACTGAAATAACTGTATGTGACGTTAAAGGCATTAACTATTTTTGAACCTGTTGCAATCTTGACAAACATTTTTTTTGTTTGCCCCAGTGTGCTTTTTTGAAGGCCAGGTACTGCCAGATCGAGAGCAAGTATTTGACAATACTTCACAAGCTTCAAGATGACATCAGTAACCAAAAAGAGACAGACCAGGATATGGTGAAGCAGCTTATTGCTGACCAGTCAAAATGGGAGAATAAAGATCAATCTGGCAGCAATGTTGGTGGTATTTGCAAGTGAGTAGAAAACAAGATGGCGTATCTTAATATTGAAACTTTCTCATTTATTGTTATGAAGCTATGAAGGACATCCATGTGTCTGCCAGGATACGGGCACTGCTTAGTGTAAACTGTAACAGGGCTAGTGCATGTTCCTCAGAGATAGTAGGAACTGCTGATGCTGGAGTCTGAGATAACAAAGTGTAGAGCTGGAGGAACACAGCGGGCCAGGCAGCATCAGAGGAGCAGGAAAGCTGACGTTTCGGGTCTGGACCCTTCCTGATGCTTGCCTTGGGACAGAATTGCCAGTCCCCTGCCGTAGCTCGTGTTACCACACTTCCAAGGAACGAGTCTAGAGTGCAATGGCGTATGCTGCATTTGCCTGACATGAGTGAAGCTCCAAGACAACAAGGTGCAGGGCTGGATGAACACAGCAGGCCAAGCAGCAT